TTACAATAAAAATAGTAATTTTAAAAAGAGAAGCCAAATTTTAAAAAAACCCAAAGGCCAAAGGAGTTAATCAATAAAAGCAAAAGATGGTTCTTTGGGAATAAATAAAATAGATCTCTTTTAGCAAATATAATCAATATAAAAAGAAGAAATTAAATATCAAGAATATAAAAGATATGACTACAAATATACGGAAAAGATTTCTACAAATTATAAATTACCATACACGATTTATACCAATAAACTTGAAAACTGTAAGAATATAATTTATCAACAGTGGTCTAAATGGAAGAAACATCTGAATAAACCAATTGTGGTGAAAAAAAGTGAAAGAGCAGTCAGAGTCCTACCCCTTCCCTCAAAGGCAAGCCCCAGAGTTTTATTAGCAAGTTTCACTTTTCATTTAACAGATTATAAAAAAATCCACAAGTTTGGCAATGTATTCTGTTGGGGAAGCTGTGGGAAATAAAAAGAAAAGCAAAAGACCAAGAGAAAATATATATGTAGTTTATCTAAGATTTACTTATGTTAAGATAGATCAGCCGAACATAAAAATGGAAATTCGGTTTGGAAATTATGACTAGTCAATAAACACATTTCAAAACACCTCCAATCACAGATTTAAGAAACTAAATAATCCCAAGCAAGATAAAGATACATTACAATGAAAGAGCAGAAAGTAAAAGAGAAAAATATAAAGCCCCCAGACAAGAAAGTATTGAGAGACTGACAGCTAACTTCTCAATAGCAATAATGGAAACCAAAAGACAGAGGAATGAGATCTTCAATGTACTAAAAATAAACAACTGCCAAACTAAACTGCTATATTCTGCAAAAATATCTTTCATAATTGAGTGAAACAAAAACATTTTCAGGTAAACAAAAATTGAGAGAGTTCATCATCAAAAGACCTTCAATAAAAGCCATTCCAAAGGATATACTTTAAGTAGAAGGAAATGGCCCCAGATGGATGGTATAAAAGATAAAAGAAGTAATGAATAACAGAGAAAGCAGTAAAAATGTGGAAAATGTACATAAGCACTGACTGTAAAACATAACAATAATTCTAAGCAGGTGTCCTTTCTGTCTGATAATATTTTTAAAAATTTAAACATATGATAATAACATAAAAGTTATGAAGGAGTTGAATGAAGTTAAACTTCTAAGGTCTTGTATTGCCTAACAGGAAGGTTAAAATACTAGTTATTTTTAGATTTTGAAAACTCAAGGATGCATGATATTTCTAGGATAATTATAAAAAGAAAACATAGTATGGAATTTCCAAACTAGTATGTGGAGGGAAATAGAATAATATATTAAATCAATTATTTTAAAAATAACAAAAAGGGACAGAAAAGAAATATAGGACAGCCAGGACAAACAGCACAAAATAAGAGCAATTGTAAATACAAAAACATAAAAAGAAAAAATGTAAATAGGTTATGTGTCCCAGCTAAAAATGTTCTCAAATTGCATTAAAAAATTTCAACAAGTGCACTTTAAGAGACACATCTAAAACATATACATGCATATGAATCTATAGCTATCTCCAAATATTTTTTAATTTATTAAATTAACACAAAAAGAAATATATGATAGGGATAACCACAAAGCCAACAACAAAAAATTCACTGAAAAGACAAGTCTAACTGATAAACTACAGGCAAGATGAATTAACAGAAAAGTGGTTGGGAACAGAAATAGTCAATATCAGAAATAAAAGAAGACATAATTACACATGCTTTGGACATTAATGATAGTAAGAGGGCATTTTTAAACTGTGCCAATAAATATTAAAAATTTAGGCAAAATGGACAGAGTCCTAAAAAAATCTAACATATCACAACTGACAAAAATTTTAAAAATACCTGCGTAATCCTGTTACCACTAAGAAATGTCACTAGTGAAAAATCTGCCACTAGCAAAACTTCAGATCTAAGTGGATTCAATAGTAAATTCTACCACAACTGGTTATCCACGTGAGAATAAAGTTAAATAATATCTACACTCAAACTACACACAAATAACAATTCCAAGTATACAGACACGAAATGAAAATCTTTAAAATTAAGAACTACTGCTCATCAAAAACAAACAAAAAACACTACAGAGAGAAAAGATATTTACAACCCATTTCTAAATAAACAGCTGAGTGAGGCCAGATTTTCCTTTGATACTTTAACCAAAACAATATACTGCAAGAGACTGAATGCAGAAGCAGACATGAGACTCTAGTCATTAAAGATATTTGCAGAAATCTGTAAAACAAAGCCACTCTTGTCACTAGTTTTTTCTGATCTGGAAAATATTTTTCATTAAAAATGTTATTTATGGTAAAGTGTAATATAGGTTTATTATTGTTACTACTACTACTACAGGCACCCACTAAAATATACCAATAGATGTTATATCTATTATATTAAAATTGGCCAGTTTTAATACCTAATATGATATAATAATCCATATAAACAAAAGATCTTTGGGGTCTTCAATAAAAAGCAAAGGAGTCCCGACACCAAAAAGTTTCTGAACTGCTGAACTACAGGAAAGTACATGCTTCAACACAGATAAATCTCAGGAACATAATGTTTAACAAAAGCAATTCACAGGATATACGGTATGATTATATTTAAATGAAGTTCAAAAACAGATCAAAGTAAACAAATGTTGGTTAAGCATACATACATAGGTGATAAAACTGTAAAGAACGGCAAGGGAATAATTAACACAAAATTCAGGATGACCATGGTAATGGGGGAGGGAGAGGCACTCAACGAAGGCATCTAAGGTACTTGTGATGTTCTTTCTATTAAGCTTGGTACACAGATTGTGTGTGTGTGTGTGTACTTTTTTTTACAGTACATTAAATGATATATTTCACAACAAAAATTTTAAAAGAACAGGAGACATACCTATTCTCCTAGAAGGAAAAACTCAAAAGAATGTCTCTTCTCAAATTAATCTAGAAATTCAATGCAATCACAAACAATATCCCAACGAGATTTTCTATGGAACTTGAAAAGGTGGTTCTAAATTTCATCTGGAAGAAAAATGCAAAAAAAAAAAAAGAGCCCAACGCTTTTTTCAAAAGAAAGTACCAAAATATATTACACACCCACAACTATTAAAACAGTGTGGTCAAAGAAGAGTTCAGAAACCCCAAAAATAAACGAGCAAAGTATATGACCTGGCCAAAAATGTTTAACTTTCTTATTACCCATGGAAGATAAAAATTAAAATGCTATTTTCAATTATTAGAAAATTAGTAAGATATTAAAGAAATATTACCATCCAGTGCTGGCTAGGAAGGAGATAAAAACACACCTTTTGAAAGAGTGACTATAAAAGGGTACAATCACTCCAGAGCAATTTAACAGCCTTTTTATATCCAGCATTCTCATAGGGAATCAATTCTACAGAAATACTATCATGAGCGCATAAAAGCAATGCTTTTAACAGTGAAAATGATAACCACTAGAGCATCCTTAGTTACTACACTTGATCTTAGCCAAAAGGTGAGAAGCGATGTAGCATCCTTAGTTATAGGGGAAACTTAAAAATATCTTAAACATCCATTGATGGAGAGATAAAAGATTCATTTGATAAACAGATGCCATATCTCTATTTAATTACACTCAATAGATACCATTCTGCATTTATTTAATAAAACGACTATGTCTGAGGCAAGTTTTTAGGCACTGCGGATTTTAATTCATTTACGCAAACTATGTTTGGATTACAGGAGAATATGATGATACAGCTTTTAAAGCAAACTGGTAACGTTGGGCAAACGTCCTGAGAACTCAAAATTTCAAACACTGTCTTCCTTAAAATAATTGTGTACAAACACTTTGTCACTCTTTATTTTTCTCTAGTCTGAGTTAGTTATTTACTGATGTACTGAACACACTGGATAATGCTGTTTGGTTCTGGAAGGCAGTTTTTCAACAGAAGAGCACTCTTACACTATTAAGGAACATGTTTTGTTATAGACTTCCCGAGTCGGTTTACTACCAATCTTAGGTCCTATAATATCAAGTATCATGCACACATTCCTTTCCCTTCTAATGTTTTTCAGGGGAACACTGTGGACCCTCAGATCACTTGTACCCCACTTAAGTTAGAACGTATTATCGTAAGCCTTATTATTCTAATCTTACCTGCCAGGAAGAATAAAGGTTAAATTTGGGGATTTCACATAGACAAATGGTGAGTAGATGAATCTTGAGAATTTTCCAAGTATCTTCCTCAAATTTTGAGGTTAACCTGCCACGTTCCCTCACGAAATGAGGCTTGGTGCCACCCTCAGGCAAACTACTAGGTTGCCGTGGACCAACCTTTTACGATATTCCTTATGTGCCACTTCAGTATTTTCTCTGCATAACCCTTACTGTGGACGCCCCGCTTCCTTTTACACCCACTTTTAAAAAGGGGCGCGCACTCCCATGAAGTCTACGGAAAGCAGCAGGAGGTGCGGGGTTCACGAAGAACCACCGAGAACATCATTTAACGGCCAGTCCACTCCAAAGGGACAAAGCTTCACCCGAGCCTTTATCATAACGTCCGAAAGGACGAAGCTGTCCTCTGACAAGCAACTCCAAGGAAATGTGTGACGCGCTCTAGGCTTTCCGCCTCAAAACGGGGAAGGAGGGAGTTTTTGAAGCCCTACGCCAACTTGTAAAACGCCGGGTTTCTAGAAACGGATTTAAGAGCGACAGTGAGAATGGCCACAGGTGGTGACGGCGGAGTGATTAAAAATCAGCAGAGCCAAAAACGATTCTGGAAACCACCCCAGAGCGGGGCAAACAGGGAAGAACACGTTAGTCATTCGCGGGCTAGAACAGCCTGCAAAGCCCATTCTCATTTGAGAGAAAACAAAGTTAAAACACAACAGCGAAGCGACCACGGACGCCATGCACTTGGCCCTGGAGCACTAACTGGGTGTCCGCCTCCCTTGCTGGGGTCCGCAGGGCGAGGAGCCCACGCCGACCAGGCTTTACCTGTCCTTCGCGCGGCCGCCGCCCCCGGGAGTCTGGGGTTACGCTCCGAGGTCCTCCCCATGCTCTCCACGCGCTGTCCGCTCCGCCTCGGCCGGTCCCCGGCGGCCAGAAACCCGAATTTCCGACGGGCGCGCTCGGCCGCCGGCTCGCACGGGCTCGTCAGCGGCGCGCAGGACCCTCCACGTCGCGGCCCGTCCTTCCTCCCCGCCCTTGTGCCGGGAGCGTGAGGAGCGCGTCATTTAAGTAAAGTTAGAATTATATCATTTGTAAAAAAAGGAAACACATTTTAAAATGTGGATCCAAGTTAATAAATCCCAACAATGAAATAATATAAGCTACCGGGGCCTCTGGGATGAAAAGAGATCATGCTGA